AAACTTGAGTTTTAAGGGGTGGTCTTTTGAATCTGACGCGCGAGCTGGTCCGAGAAAAACACGCGTAACTCTCTTAAAATGGCGAAATGCGAAAATTGATGTGTCTGGATTTTGACGGAAAAGTAGTTGAATCGACAGGGGTGAACCAGAGACCACAAAACTACCTTTGGTTCCGTCAGAAACCACCCCTGTCCACAGAAACTTGAGTTTTAAGGGGTGGTCTTTTGAATATGGCGGGCAGCGGGCGCGGGCAGCGTACAACGGGCTGCCTACCTAGCAGGCGATCCGGTCCAAGAAAAGCAGGCGTTCAGTATCTCACTTAATTTGCCCCGGCGACCTGAAATTTTGACGGAGAGGTTGAAAGAGGGTGCTGTCGGACCAATCCTAAGCATTTCTAGCGATTTTATTCTTTTTCATTTTTGGCCAAATTTTGCGAAAATTGATGTGTCTGGATTTTGACGGAAATGTAGTTGAATCGACAGGGGTGAACCAGAGACCACAAAACTACCTTTGGTTCCGTCAGAAACCACCCCTGTCCACAGAAACTTGAATTTTTTAAGGCGTTGTCATTAGAATGTGGCGCGCAGCGTAGAATGGGCTGCCTACCCCGCTGGCGATGGCGAACCCACCCACGAAAAACAAAACTCACTTGAAATGGCCCAGTGGTATGAAATTTCGACTGAGAGATTGAAAAAAGGTGCTGTCGGAGTCGGATCAATCCCTACCATTTACAGCAATTTTATTATTTTTCATTTTCTGATGTAGTGTGTTGCTCCATGATATTTACACAGAGCAAGTGAAAGGGGAGTCTGCCCGACCAATCCAGGCCAATTTCAGCCTGGATTTTGACAGAGGAGCATTGAAATCACCAGGGAAGACCCACGGCACCACAAAAACATTTAAAAACAGAACTTTGATGCACGCCTTCTCATAGAGTCTGAATAGAGACAAATTGGACCAGCTTTGGTTACTTGTCATGCCAACTCACCTATTCTTTCAAGTAAAATGACTCCGAGACTTCTTTGCTCATGTCAAGAGCATTTCCGGGCCGTGTTCCTGCAATCATATTAAACGCTACTTTAGGCACTATTTTTTGAATTTGAAACACACTTTTAAATGCCTCTCGCCTCATACTCTAAATGACCAGGGTCTTTTAAATAACTAATTTGGCACTGGACTCAAGTATTAGTGCACATAATATATCCCTCTGCACATACTCCCACATACTCCCAGATACCTTTACGACAATTATTAGGACTGTGCTAGACAGCTGCAAATTTGTTGCAATGCACATTGATTGTTGATTGTTTAAGGGATTACACTAATAGCTCGAGCTAAAGCCCTCAGTTGACTAAAAGTGCGCACCCCAACCAGGAGTAATACATTTTGCTGTTCAACAAGAATAATACAGAGTAAAATATGTGATATAATATGATAATACACTTGACAGTTCACCCATTTGCAAAAGACCTAGGACAGTATTTCGCACACAGCACGTACCCATTTAACACCTTTTCGACAAAGCTTACAGTGAGCATAGCGTACAGAGTGGGCATCATTTACTCTGCCTCGAAAAATAACTTCCCACTTATGAGTGTAAAAATTGAACCATTGGAACACACTTATAACCTCCTAACAGAACATTTAAATATTCCAGAAACCACCAAGCACTATTACTTACGATTATAATGTCAAAAAGCAGCGCTGTCTACCCAAAATCTCTGATGAAAACCTTTGATAAATTCGCGTCGGTATAATTTCGGTATTGAGCAGCAGGCGACACCGACTTCCACTGTTTATTATTTACGTTTCCACGAATGAAGGCGCGGCGGGGCGGGTGGGGGAGAGGGAAGAGGGTTGGGGTCCCAAAACAATTCTGGCATCTTTTGATATGTTGTTCGCAGCACCTTTAAACGCACAAAATTGTACATGCTGTGGGAACAAAAAACAATATTTCATCACACTTTTTTTTGTTGTGAAAAGCAGTGAGCGACTGCGTAGGATCAAAGGTCCCCTGGAGATGGAGACAGCGTTGTGTCTCTATGGCGTAGTCGGGAACGTGCCCGGCCTGGAAACGGGAGGTCGGCGGTTCGAATACGCGATACGCTGATTTTTTTTTTCAGGCCACCAAATTTCAAATGGGCTGGAAACTCGTCATTTCGCCACGACCCCCTCGTGGTGGTAGCTATTGCGTCGAAGGTGGCATATGACCTGGCATATGGCATATGGCCGGGGTTCGACTCACAGCGAAAGCGGGCCTCGGTAGTTCCCTGGTGTCAGGCACCTTGCTGTGGTGGCATGTCGTTTGACTCGGTTTTTCTCGCAGATCACGATTTTCAGTGTACTTTTTATCTACAGATAATATTTTGAGGTCCAGGCCCGATTTTTAGTTTTCAGTAGAATAGCCCATAAGAAAGTACTGTTAAGTTTTACCTCGTTTCGGCAGGGTCATGTATTGTTCCATTTTCATAAAAAAATCATGGTGAATCTATACACCAAACTGCACCCTCTGGCCAACATGCCCACACAAAAATCATAAGAAACGATTTTTTGGTCAACTCTAGCATGTCGCACTCCGACTTGTTAGGGATTATCTGCAGAGCAAGTCTTTTGACACACTTTTTGCCCCTGACCTTACCCTGACTTACCCGACTTGTGGCAACCTTGTACTCATAGGAGCTACTTTACTCTCGCTCGTACACTCACGACCGGTTGTTGTCTACCACAAGAGACAAGACCATAAAAAGGTTTTAAGTATTAAGTAAATTATCAATAACTTTGCATCAGAAGGTTTTTATTGTGTTTTTTTTTTTGTCGATAATAGATGTAAATACAGAATGTTTTAAATTTCTCTTAAATACGTTGCGTATTAGTCTAGTTTCATGATCAATAACAGTTTATGTTACATAAAGCAATTCATCTTTGATAACTAGACTACATTCAATGCACCCATACAACGGAGAAGAATACATGTTGAGTAGCGTATGGGCGTATGAGTAGTTCCAAAACACATTCTGGGTGCAGTCTAGAAGATCTTGAGAAGGGAGCTCTATCTTCTGAAGATATTCTAAAGCGCCTACCCCATAATATCATTCGTTTTTGATTTTTCTCAAGATATTTGTACCACACCTCATCATAGCAATAATAACATTACACGTTTCAAAGAAAGCTATACAAGAGCCATTATCATAAGATTTACTGCAATATTTGTTATAGTACGGTAAACAATGTTTCTTGCACAGCTTATATATAATGCAAACTGCGCAAGATTTGTTATGATATAAGAATAAATATATTTGTGTTCATTAACTGGAACTTGGAAGAACTCTCCTTGTTGTCCTTGGCTCCCTCTTAACAGTACAAAGTACATCACTATAGCACTTAAAGCTGCAATTGCATAACAAATAAAATAAAAAAATCTTAAAAT